ACCTAGGCAACTCGGCGAGTCTGGGCGTATACACCAATTTCCCTGAAATCCTCCCTTGACACGTCGAGCATTCACTCAACTCGACGAGTTCCACCTGGCATGAGTTGTGGGGCCACCACGACTCAACTCGCCGAGTCTCAAAACAACTCGGCGAGTCCAGTTTGACTCAATCCACCGGTCCATTCTGACTCCCCCTTGACTCACTGAGTCCACCCTCCCCAACTCGGCAAGACCACTCACTGTGTGGTCGGGCAACATTCATGCTACTCGCCGAGTCTGTTCTTCGGACTCGGCGAGTCCGTGCCATGCACTGACTCAATCTTGCTCTAAAGGTCAGATCCAGTCCATTAATCCATAGATCCAGTCCCTCCAAGCTCATTTAGCACGTAAAGTTACAATCTTGATGCACATACAACCTCTATATGACCATATATGATGTTTTTGACTCATTTACTACAACACAAGGTCATGGACTCCATTGTCATACATAAAGCTTGATGAGTGAGACTCTCTGGACCTCTATGGGTCCAGATCCATAACCTCAACTCAAGGAGGGAACCAATGGGCACCAAATCATCCCATAAATGACCATCATAAGCCCTAAATTGCATAATGCTTCACCAAACAGAAAATAGTCCGAGATCATACCTCTAGAGTGATGATCTAAGCTCCAAATCCACGAAATAGCAACCTCCTTTGCTTCCTCTTGCCTAGAGTCTCCTTCTTCTTGCTAAATAACACACACAAGGTTAAGAAATGCTCCTTTCTCTTCACAAATCGCTCAAGAACACAAGGGTCTCTCACTGAGGGTTGGGTGAGCACAAATGACGGCCATAAGGCCCTTTAAATAGGCCTCAAACCCAGAAATTTAGGGTTTCATTACACAGCGCAGACTCGCCGAGTCCATATCCTGGACTCGCCGAGTCCAGGCGCGCTCCATTGCCCAAATCCGCGTCCCTACTTGGCGAGTCTGAGCTCCAACTCGCCGAGTCCCCCTCACAATACCACAAAATTAAATTTACAAGATACCTGGTAAAAATCCGGATGTTACATTAAAATTTTGAAAATATAAAATTTTGGTGTAATATTTGAAAATTAAAATATTTAAGTATTTCCCGCCTATGACCGCCGATGACCGCCAAACCTGAGTTTGACGAATTTCCACCAAACACCCTGATCATAGTCAGTTCAATGCCGTCAAACGATTAATCACCGATTTATTGACCACCAAGGCTAATTTCTGCCACACACACACACAAACATATATATATATATATATATATATATATATATATATATATATAGAGAGAGAGAGAGAGAGAGAAAGAGAAAGAGCTTATGGTCGGTCTCCTGTTGCGGAGTGACTACAAGAAAAGACTTCATGATAACTTTTGTGTAAGTTTGGACTAAAATGATAAACTTGTACTATTTATGTTAAAATGAAAGTCTAGAATTTTAACTATGTTAGAGAAGATGCAAACAAAAATGAAAACTTAAACAAAATACAATAATTGCATGTTTGGCTCCAATAGACTCCAACACATAAGTGTTAGCACCGAAATGGATAAAAAGTTCCTAATTTGGTTAGATTCCTTATATGTTTGCTTATAATATGTTTTAAATCATTAATCAATTGGTAGTCCATCTTTGATAACTTCCTTTATCGATGGATATATAGCTAGTATATGCTTGTATGTACTTATGAGACATATATAACAATTGGGTGTCGGTTTGACAGTAAATATCATGTTGTTTTTCAGACTAATCTAAAGTTTTGTTATGATTGTTTTAATCTCCAATGTAGATATCCATTTTTTTCACATGGTAGTGACATGTTCATCCCATTCATGATACCATTTTTTCTTGGTTTCTTTCAATGAATCCATTAAATTTAAGAAAAAAAACTATAACAAATTCAAATATTCAATTATCACCATTAAAAGGTTTCGACTAAGGCAAATTGTTTTAATGTGCTACTTTTTCCCTATAAAATTACTTATTAGATTGAAACACAATTACAAACAGAAAAAGACAAATACGGTAAATTTCTTAATTGCCCTTTTCACAAGGTGTCTTTGTCCGCAACTGTCATCTTCAATTTCACACCTACAGTAAATTACAGTCACAACATCTATGTGCTTGTTCAAGCTTATGACGAATTTACTTTCCATGCAAAATTTCCAGAACTCAATCTTTCATTTATACGAAAACATTTAGTTAACATGAAGAATGTGATTGTTAAGATATATAATTGTGTATAATATAATAAGGGATTGAGTAATGAACCGATAATAAATAATTTCGAAAACCACATTCTAGGTTTCCATCCCATATTTCTTTCTTCAATGCACATAGATTTGACTTTGATCCATTTCTTATAAAAGGTTGATAATTTAGCGAGATTTTATATATGTTTGTCGACGATATGTATTAAATCCTTAATCAGTTGGTAGTTTGTCGCTGATGCTGATTGTAAAAGTTTTAAATACGATTTTACATTTTTAATTTATTAACAATTAAAACAATTTTATTTCACCTATCATGTCAAGCACCGGTCCAATTATGACAAATTTGCAAATTTTGAGTTGCCAGTAGTATTGAAGAAAAAAACCCACCGTTCCTCCCCATGTCCAGAAGAATAATGTGAGTTGGCACGCGTCCATTAGGCACCATGACATCCTTCACTAACACGGATAGTTCCTTGTTCAAATTGTCAACGTAGGCACACCTATATAAACGATCAATACTACTTCCCAAAACATACCATCTCTCTCTCTCTCTCTCTCTCTCTCTCTCTCTCTCTCTCTCTCTCTCTCTCTCTCTCTCTCTCTCTCTCTCTCTCTCCATATATAGAAACAATAATGGGAACGCCCAACTCTAGTATTTCTGCAGTTGTTCTTTTAATATCAATTCTAATAGTAGCAGCATCAGCAGGAAGTTTTTACGATGACATGGACATCACTTTTGGGGGTGAACGTGCTAAAAATTGTGAATGGAGGTCAGGATCTTTCACTGTCACTCGACCAATACTCTGGATCGGGTTTCCAGTCGAAGCACGAGTACCTGTTTGGAAGGTTCGACATGCAACTCAAACTAGTACCAGGCAATTCTGCTGGCACCGTCACCACATTCTACGTGAGTACCATCGATCGGTTTCAATCTTGAATTATATATATATATATATATATATATATATATATATATATATATATATATATATATATATATATATATATATATATATATTGTCACTCACTTGTATTAATCTTTTAAAAAGCTGATAATAACCATGTCTTTGTATTAAATCACATCAGTTGTCATCACAAGGTGCGGGTCACGATGAGATCGACTTCGAGTTCTTGGGCAACTCCACGGGAAACCCTTACACAATTCACACCAATGTGTATTCACAAGGGAAAGGAAACAAAGAACAGCAGTTCCACCTTTGGTTTGACCCTACTGCAGCCTTCCACACCTATACCATCGTATGGAACAGTCTAAGAATTATGTAAGTCACGCATCCAACATAAACATTTGGTTCTCTTCCTTTCTCATGTTTTTCTACTGTTCCTAAAACTCTTTGTCTCTGCAGTTTCTTGATAGATAACATACCAGTAAGGGTGTTCAATAACAATGATGCTGCTGGAGTCCCATTTCCCAAGAGCCAACCCATGAGGGTGTATGCCAGCCTGTGGAACGCGGATGACTGGGCAACCCAAGGTGGGCGTGTGAAGACCGACTGGACTAATGCGCCTTTCACCGCGTCATACAGGAAATTCAATGCCAATGCCAAAAAAGTTGGTCCCAATTCAGTATCTACAAACTCAATAAATGATAACCAGTCATGGAGTACCCAAGGACTTGATGCAGCTGGCCGAAACAGGATCCGATGGGTGCAAACCAAGCACATGATCTACAACTACTGCAACGACCGCAAACGGTTTCCCAATGGTATTTCAGCGGAATGCAAGACCTCTAGATTCCTTTAAGCCTGCTTACTAACTTGATATCCATATTTTTTTATTTTTTATTGATCGATTTCTGATCTTGACGATTATTTATTCTTTGATTCATTGTAAACAATCAAATTGAAATTACAAATAAATAAACAACTATAAGATTCCGTTTTCACTTTAAAAAACACATTCTATAGTGGCACACTAAAATAATTGTTCTCTTCATTTCTAATTATATAGTTCAATTGCTCAAAATTAAAAGTCGTAACTAAAAACATTATAATTTTTAAAATCATTTTTCCTTCGACACTACATACAAATTTCATTATGTGTAGAATTACCAACAAAAAATGATCCTCGTGGTTTGTCATTGTTTTCGATATGAAACATTGTATATGGTTGAAATTTGTGCAACAGAGGTCTTGTGATTATTGAAGAAACACATGCATTTACTTTACGACACAAAAACATGGGTATATGACCAAGTGATTGATGAAGATGTTAACTTTGAAGAGAAGAATTCCGAATTTGAAAAGTGTTATTTTTGACTTTTGTTACAGAAAATGTAAGCAAAAATGAAAACTTAATAAAAATACAATAATTGCAGATTGGGCTCAAATAGACTTAAACATACAAGTCTTGACACGAAAATGGGTAAAAAGTTGCTAATTTTGCTAGATTTCATATATGTTTGTTGATGATTTGTATTAATCTTTAATCAACTGGAAGTCTATCATTGATGGTTTCCTTTATGGATGGATATATAGCAAATATATGTGTGTATGTATTTATACATTTGAGACATACGCAACTATTAGATGCCCGGTTAGACACTAAATATCATGTTATTTTCAGAGTAATCTAAATTTTTGTTACGATAGTTTCTATCTCTCGTGTAGATATCCACTATGTTCACATGGTTGATACATGTTTATCCCATTCATGGTACCGTTTTTTTTTTTTTTTTTTTTTTTGGTTTCTTAAAATGAATATGTTAAATTTAATGAAAAAACTATACCATATATAAATATTCAATTATCATCATCAAAAGGTTTTGCCTAAGGCAATTTGTCGTCGATCCTCACGTATCCGAGCTTCGGTCCAATCAGCTGACGACACGTTTGGCTTCAGTGGCGAGCTCTCGCACGAGCCGCGTGTCCTTCTGAGCCTGGCTGGCCTCTCGCATGCGAGGCCACCCGGAGCCCCTCGCTTCTCCTGCTGCCACGCGTCCGATCTCGGCCGACCTTCGCCCTATAAATAGGAGGGTTGCGAACCCTCCCGAGTAAAATGGGAAATTTGGCAATTTTCACCCTAAATTCAAGATTTTTATTATTTTGACTTCCCCGAAGCCCCTGTATCATTTTTAAAGCCCGATATACGTTCCGAGGTACCCGGAGAGCCTGAGAAATTTATCTTTTCGGTTTGAAGCTCTACCTTTGCAGAGCCCGGTTTATCAATAAATCTCCCGGTTTTCAACGAATAAAGTCATATTTTGAGTCGAAGTGCTGGTCAAATTACTATTTTAATCCCGGTTATTTCAAGGTGAGTTCAATATATAGGAACAATTGTATGTTATGTGTTATATGTGCTATGTTCTTTTTCCGTGTTATTATCTCGTGTTGTTATTTCATGCTATATTTGTAGCAAAAGTTATACCTTTGACCATGTGATCAGAGAAAGGACTTACATTCACGGTGGTACTAGTATATAGCCCTTGGCCATTTATAACATTTCTCGTAAGAGAATGAATTCTATTTTATGGCATTAGCAGAATGTTAGATAGGACTGGTATGTAGCCTTTAACCATGTAGAGCATGACTCCGTAAGAGAATACCTGTATTCTATGGTATTGGAAAATGGTTAGATAGGGCTATAAGCCTGAAGTCTACCAAAATGTTAATCAGAAATTGAATATCTTCTGTGCCATCTGGGCCAAAGCTTTATTGATGCATATCAAGTATTGAAATCATTATCTCTCATTGATCGTAAATCTTTAAATCAAATCTTGAGTTGATATTGAAAGCCTGACATATGATACACATATGCTATTGTTGTTCTTGTTCCTCTTTACTTCTGTCATAATGGTATATATAAGGCATAAGATTATATCTTATCTATTTATTGAATTCACTAAGCGTTATCGCATATCCCTCTCAATGTTTAACAATTGTGGGTGATGAGTATCCAATATAGTTTTATACTGCTGAAAGATTTAGAATAGTTAATACTATTCCTCTGTATTTAATGTTCATGAATGTATATGAATAGCAAATTCGTGGGTAGATATGTAATGTAATAAAACTTAGTCGGTTTGTATCCAATCTTTTGTAATCACTTTATTAATATAAAATATTGTTTTATAAATATGCATGTAGCATGTTTTGAGGAAGTAACTTAAGAGTAATGTTGGAATAGTATGAAAGTTTGGGTCTTTTAGAAATATGAAAGTTGGGGTCTTTCACTAAGAGAGATGGTAAGTATTCAGAAAATAGAGAATTTTGTCCCCTCCTTCGTGAGGAAGAAGGGTCCATTTATACCTATCTCAAAGGCATGTCTCCCAAGCATGGAACAAGAACCAGAATCAACTGAGGACGAGCTAGTAAATGAACAAGGTGATGCTTTTTAAAAAACTGGGCACCACCACTATCTCTTTCTGCCCAGGCATAGGAAACTTATCGCCAAGAACATCCCTGATATCACCATGAAGCTTGGGTACGGACACCGTGTTGCACATCTTATGAGGACGGAGGCCCATGTTATCAGATTCGGTCTCTTCGTCCGATGCCAACACCACGCGCAAACTTCATTTTTTCCGGATAAGAGTAGTACCTTTTCCTGCTTGAACCACCACATGAATATCAGCAAAAGTAGAGGCCAGAAAACGAGCTGAGAAAATGGCCCTAACAACCAGTTGGGAAGGTGAGGTAGGTCTGCTAGAACTTGAACTTCCACCTTCTGTTAAGAGCAGTTCAGTGAGTTCCCCCATATGTTTTTCAAATACGGGAGGGGGAATAGTCTCCAAAAGGTCAACCTCCCGGTAACAAACCTTACCCCGATAGTAACTACGCATGGCCATCTCTAGGTAAATCTCGGCCTCGGCACCTGCGAACACAAACATCAAGTATGAGAACTCACAAACCATGAAAACACCATGTTCTTATTTTTTTGCAATAAAAAGGGGGAGGGGGAGAAGAAGATGAGTGAATACCGCATCTCACGACGAGTAACTGCGCCATCTTCCTATGCAGCCACCAGGTGACACTCATACCGGCTGCAATAAGGATGAAATCTTCCCAGTTTTCCCCGATGATAGTAATATTTCCCAACCGTTTGCCAAGAGTTAGGTTATCCCGAATAGCTTGGGAAGAAGGTCAGGAAAGTCTCAGGTTTTATGAAAACCATGCCCCACAAGGTTCCGGTTGACCTAGATCCATTTCCTCTTGCATATTTTCTTCTAAGTATCTTGTTCAGAGATCAATGGATGAATACCCCGCCTTTTCGCCAACGTACGGACGCCGGAGTTCGTAGACACAAAAAAGAAGCAACTGAAAACCCAAAAATTGGGTATACAACCCAAAGATCGATAGCTCAGTTCGAAGCCAACGATCTTGTTAACGACACTTGGGGTTAATTCGTCAACCGAAAATCCATAGTGATGCACGATCATATTAAAAAGTCAGATGTTGGCAGGCGTAACCCGACTTCGAACAGAGGAACAGGAACCCACACTTTTCCTTGATGACAGTACTAAATTGATGATCTTCTCCGTAATCATAATGCCATGCTCCATTAACGATCATATTGTTGGTTTCTTTCCCATATATCTTTCTTCACTTTCGATAGATTTTAGTTTAATTCATTTTTTTTATAAATCTTCTATTCTGTACAAGTGATGCTTTCCTTTAAATGGGAAACTGAGAAGAGAGGGGGAAACCAATATTTTAGATAGAATGGTCTAGGAATATGTGCTTAGTTCTAGCCAAGTATTCAAGGATGTTCTTCACAGTTATCCAATGACTCTCCCCTAGATCTTTTTGGTAATTGATTGTCATGCTAAGTAGGATCGGGTCTAGTACAATACATGGCATACATGATGGATCCAACTATTGAAGCATATGGAACATCTTTCAATCTATCCAAATCATCCTTTGTGCAATGATATTTGGATGAACTTAACACTATGTCATGCGGCATAGGTATAAATCTTCTCTTAGAGTTTTCCATCTTGAAGTGTTTCAAGAATTTTTCAATATATGTACTTTGGATTAAACCTAGTAATCGTTTTTATCTATCTCTACAGATTTTAATTCCAAGAATGTATTGTTCTTCACCAAGATCCTTCATTGAGAAGCACTTTCAAGACAAGCCTTTACACCTTGTAAAGTTGTAATATGATTTCCCATGATAAGTATGTCATCCACATATAGGACCAAGAACGTCATAGAGCTCGAACTAGTCTTCATATAAACAGGAGATTCATTTTCATTTTTGAGAAAACCAAACTTTATGATTTCATCATCAAAACGATGATTCCAATTTCGAGATGCTTGATTTAATGTGTAAATTCATCTTTTGAGATTACACACTTTATTAGGATGCTTTTGGTTGACAAACCCTTCGGGTTAAACCATATTTCCATCTTCTTCTAAGTGTCCATTTAGAAAAGGGATTTTGCTTGACAAAACCTGGTTTAGAATCTGGTCGTATCTAGTCTGAGGCTAAGGTCGGGCCTGTGCCAACGTGAATCCACTAGTATGGTGGTTAAGGGGAAGAACTGTGACTTGCTCTCTTCTCCTAGAAGAAATACCCCGACAAATGTGGAACCAATAAAAGAGTTCCACTTCCCATCTGACGACAACCACGATGATAATAATATCAAAGATTCTCCTCTAGCCAATGAAGCGACGAGACAGAAAGACATGATGGAGGATCCTTTAATACGGATCCGCCATGTCACGTCTCACGAGGTAAGGCTCAACAGAATCATTTAGGAGTCACTCACCTCTCAAAGAGGTATAAAAGGACCCTTCTTCCTCATGGAGCAGGGAACGAACTCTTTTTCTGAACCACCCCAAAAAAACAGGCCAAAATTTTCGTTTTTAAATCATTAATAAACCACAAATATCATCATCATATGAAAAAGCATAAAGACTGTATCTCAAAATATTATAACAAATATCAAAATGCACCCGAGTATCAACATCCCAGGCTAAACAAATGGTGTGTGCACTGCAATCTTCCCGAGCTCTTCTTTTGAAAACCTAGGTACCTAAAACCAAAATTGAAAACTGTAAGCATGAAGCTTAGTGAGTCTCCCCATACTACCACATATTATACAGTGGGTCTTACCCGCTACATCGGGCCCCGCCCGACATTAGAGTAAATTCCGGTTTACATATAAATACATCAATAATGTAAATAGCTTAAACACAAAACATAAGCATAACTTGGGCCTAGCCCACTACATTGGGCCCCGCCCGACATCGGGCTTGCCCCGACATCGAACCGAAGTCCGACATACATACAACATATCATATAACATAAACACATATCATAAATATATAAACATTCCTCGGGCTTGCCCCGACATCGGACCGAAGCCCAGAACACATAACACATAAATAT